TAAATACAATTAAATATTGCATATATGGGTACTGGATTTAAAAACTGAGGAATTCATTTTCTGTGGTTAAATTGTGGAAAATCCTTTAATAAAAGCATATTTAAAACATGATTTACAGAACACTCAAGATTTCACCAGGTAGCGGGATAAAGTGGTGAAAAATATCTGTCACAGCAAGATAACTAAATCCTAGTGTCTACTCTTCAACAACTCACTTGCAATCTCATTTAGCAGACCATCATCATTATCATCTTTATGCTTGATTACCGAAAAGGTAAATTTCCATTAAAAAACCCATCTGTTTTACATAAAAAGAAAAGGTTATACAAGCATTCTGGAAATTTTTTCCCCAACTGGACTGTCATTATTACTGGTAGATAATCAGCAAGTAAATTTCATTAGCAGCTTCAGTAAAGGATTTTAATTTCATTTTCTGCCTAAGGGACTCAAGAAATTCAAAGAAACAGACACAGAAATGTAAAAGTACCTACAGAGATAGAGAAGGTAGTACAGTACCTAAATGGATACTGCTATTCTTTTCAGCACCTTACCCCCACCCCCACCCCCGTTCCTTTCTCAAATACAGGTGCGAAAGCCTCCCACTGTTTAGGAAGATTTTATGGTTTGAAGAATTAGGACTATGATTTTTCTATAGCTGAAGTATCAGACACCAGCAACACACCATATTCAAAACACCATACCTGCCTTTCTCTTCTAAACTGATGACCATTTGTTTTCACCCATCAAACTGTTCTCAGTAAGGGAAGCAATAAGGGAAGCAACAAGTATATCCTTAATCAGAGTTAAGACAACTTCTTTCAAATATATTTTTCTTCATACACAGTTACGCTCCAGCTTTTCCTTATAATGGTCTCACATTATAGTAGGAATAAATTACTCTCTCAATCATCAGTACTTGTCTCAGTACAGAGAAAAAGAAACAAAACAGAACATCAGCAGCAAATCTTGATTTGTCTGCAAATCTTGCTTCTAACCAATTTTGAAATCTTATCCTTAGCCAAAAACAGGTTTAAAGAAATCCGTTAACATAGTAAGTGAAAGAAAGATGGTTGGTCAACAGGCTTTGACACAAATGTTTTCCCTTCTCCTAGTTCTGGTTTAAATATGCTTCATGAATGCAGACTTCCATGCAGTGTCCCCTCCTATGGTGGTCCACCTTTCCCTAATGAGAACTACTTCTGATTAGGTACAGCAGCGTCTCACACAATGCTGCTTTTCTGAGAAGGTAAAAGGCTAGCTAACACAAATGTGTTGGTTGTATGCATATAAGATGGTGTGTGTCTTTTAGCAATAATTTAAAAACAAGCTTGGTATTCATCTAACAATTGCAAGCTTTCATTTTTAAACTACATTTAAATGCCAAATTTTATAAAGGTGAAATTTAACTAAAACATACACATTTTTTCCCCTTAATGTAAACTTTTAAAAGTATGATTCATGTTTTATTTTATATAGGAAGCGGCACTGTTTCCTTTATTAAATGTCTTCAGTAACTTCTATCAGATGTGATAACATCTACTTTTATTCTTTGGAAACAGCTTAGATTCTGTTATTTTTCATCAGGACAGCAGAGACCAGGATGATGACTGGCACATCAAGACTACTTGTGCTTCACCACAAGATGAGAGAAAAATAGGAGTGCTGGGTTTTCTGGAGTGAAACAGCTAGGAGAGGTCATGATGGCAAACTTATGAAGTGTGAAGGTGTCACAAATCTAAGTTCTTCAAGTTAGTCTTACGGAAGGCTATTCAATTAGAAAGATATTCTTAAGATTTCAAATATCTAATACATATTTTTACCTTCCAATCATGACATTTTACTGGCAACTCCAGTACTGAAACAGGCAAAGAATGTCTCCTGCTTCCCAAATATTGCATTAATAAAACTGAAGAAAAACTCCATTTAAAAAAAACACAGAAAACTTGCAAGGCATCGCAGTAATTACAGCAGTAACAAAACAGTTACAAGGAAAGTTCTATTTCAAAATGGTTCTTTCTGGAAAACTTCAAATTTTAAACAATTGTTTATCTACAAATTAGAACACAATTTTATTACATAAAGGGTCATTAATTTCTGGCAACACTAAGGAACATACCTGCCTGAATGCCAGTCTCCTCTCACATGTCACTCCTACAGAGAAAATAACTTTTTTTTGAGAAGAGGTAGGGGCAAAAAAGAGAAAGGAGGGGGAAATTGTAACTTTTCACACATTTCCCCAAATAGTTTGAGATGCTTTTTTCCCCCCACTCTCGATCCTTTCCTTCTCAGCTATAAAAATAATCCCATCACCTGTTACAGCAACTTACATGCTGCTATGCAGCCCATTGCATATCCAGTATTCAATTCTGAAAAATATTTGCAGTGACGGCACTGGTGAAAGCTAAAAAAAATAAGCTCTGAAATCAGTCTTCCTAAGAAATCTCTTGGCTTCCCCAACAACACAAATTTGAACCTTGGCATCTGTTTTCCACATATTTGGGTTCTGTGAATAGTAGGAATTCTTCTATCACACAAGCAAGGACTGAAATTATTGTGTTTGAAGAGAATTCCAGTTCCTCGGTATAAATACATTCCATCTCCATTTTTAACGTTTTTTTTAAGAGGATAGTGAGAATACAACTTCACAATGCTCCTCTGTTTCTGATTTAAATTCGCTATGGCACATAAGGGCAGGTTGACTGAAGATTTTCTTTTTAAATAATCCAGAGTGCCATATCCAAAAGTAAGCAAACAGAAGAAATTTATATGAATTTAAATTCATCCATCTGGGATGGAGCTATCTGGGTCATCTAGTTTTCTTGCCTGTATACTATGTACGGTATGGTCCTCGCCCAAAGCTAAGTCCTGACTGGCTAAATGTAACCTTCTTCCTGTCACAGCAATGATGGCTGGCTCCTAGCTCTGCACAATTAGTCCAAACAAAGCAATGTACGTTTTCTTCCTGAAATGTGAATGCCAGCATAATATGCTGTTTCTGGAAAGCTATACCAGGTCTATAAAATGTGGTGAACTACACATCTCAGACTTCACACACCCATGAGAAAAGATTTCCTTCCCACAAAGTTCAATGATCATGTTACATGATCATACAGTTCCAAAAGCCTCAAACCTCCACAAAGAGCATACAGAGTAAGTATAATTAGTTGCTGCACATAGTATACTGCAAATGTGTTGATTCCACTTCAGAACTCAAATCCAAACACTTTGAAATACATTAAATTCTCTTCATTACACAGACACCTCTCTATGTTAACACATAATGTAGTATAACAGCTCTGGTCAGGACCTTCCAGATGTGGTGAAAGAAAATGATCTCACTGTAGCGACAACCAATGAACTCATCACTGTATTTTGAAATCCTGCTTCTTAAAATAATCCATACCAAACATAATGTGCATGCTTCCAGAAAATAAAACCATTCTTCCCCCTCCAACAGCAGTTCTCCAAAACAGCCCTTCTGACAGATTTTTTTTTTTTCCCCACCATGAAACCATTAGATGCAAACAACCACTAAAGTATGTATGTATTTAAAAACAACCTTGTTACCTGTCCTCTGCTAAGGGCTCATAAAGGCCTAAAATAGTGAATACAAATAATTTTTTTTTTCTTTTACCTTAACAATATTTCTTTGTCCAACAGAAGTGGAAGACATAGCTACATGATGTGCCTACTGCACCCTAACAGCTAAGTAGTAAGAGAAAACGAATGCCATATTGTTGTTAACATTTTGCTATTTTGACAAGAATTCCCCCATCATTCCCACTTACATAAGCATGGTTCACAGTGTTAGTTTGGTGTGTACAAACCACATTTGCTTTCTGAAGAAACTACACCAGAACATCTGCTCCATATGTATACCAAATAAACTCTACCCCGTAACATGCTGTTAGAGTTTAAACCAATGACTTTGCCCCTCAGACGTTTTCACCAGTGCTTAGTGAAGGATGTATAGTCTAGAATATCAGACAAAAGCTAGTCTGAAGTAAACCCCCCAAACTCACACACTATAGACTCAGAAGCATCTGCAACCACAGCTTTTGTGCACTCAATTTGTTTCTACTGCATTAAATTATTGGTCACAGTAAACAAAGCTTAAGACTGTACTATAGCATTAAACACCAAGGACCCCACAGGTATCTCTCCTGCGCTTGCATAAACCTGTTACCTGTCTTTTCAAGTATATGAGCAAATGTTCCTCTGAAATTGCTTCAGAAAATGGGATTTCCATTGACTATCATATTGAAGCAGATATAGTAGCCCTTGGAAGCTTTAGTAGCTTACTAAAGATAAGCAAAGCCACTGTTTCTGAAGCAGCTCTGCAAACTCATCCTGTGTTTTCTTACCCAGGTAGCACATTTTAGCTATTCAGCATATTTGTAGCTGTAGAAATTCCACAATTAGAATTTAGTTAATAATTCTCTTGATAAAAAAGGCTGATTAAAATCTAGCTCACTCTTTAATTGTGCTGGCTTTACACAGACAAAAAATAGTAACATTTTATTACTGTTACTGAAGAAAAATCTTCCCAAGACTGCATCAACTTACAGGACTGTATATTAACACAGAGAATTATCTGAGTCTTTCATAATATAAATAACGACATCATTAAATTCAGTTAAACTCCGAGGGTACATTACTTTAAAAGATGAACAATTGTAGAATCCTTGCAATATCAGCTTTCTTGTTAAACACACTTTAGAAAGTATTCTCTTGTGCACCACAGAGACTTCTACCAGACTTGCTGAAAAGTATTTACAGTAATAAATATCATTCTCCAAGGCCAGGATTTTGTTTACTGTCTTTCTTGGTGAAGAACTCATCAACCATCTTTCCACAGGAATCACTGCAATGTCATCAGACACTACAGCTCCAGAACAATTACTGTGGCAAGATAGGAGTAACTCCTCCCATGAGCAGAGCAGCACGCTGCCTTCACACAGTACATGCACCCTCGGGAGGAAAGCGAAGAGACAACAGACCTTCAGTGTTACCTATTTGTCTCTCTAGATCTGCTGCTTCATCTGGTGTTGCACGTGGAAGGACACCAGGATCACTGAAACTAGTACGCAGCAAGGTCCCCATCACGAAAAAGAAAAGAATCCCACCAATTGCAGGTATAGCAGGTGTAATCTTCTCTGACAAATATGGACAACTGGAAAAAGAAAAAAGATTAAACATAATCAATAACACATAGTGCAACTTGCTCAAAATCTGTTTACTATTATAAATATAAATGCATATGAAGATTCTGATTGATACTTTACTTGTCTCGGAACATTTATTGAAGCTGGCATTTCTGTTTATATGTTCATGACACTTCTGAAATTTCTCATCATCTATTTAACATAATGCAGGTCCAAATAGTGTAATAATGAACTCACTAATATGCAATACTAATTTACATAAGAAAAGAAAATATTTTTATTACAGAATATTATAAGCTTATGTATTTGTACATCTATTGCCCAATTACATAAAGTAAATTGGGGGGAGAGGGGAAGGGGAAATAACCTGAAGATATTCAGCAATAAAAAGCAAAGCACATAACCTGATGAAATAAACCACACTGAAAAATATAATTAAGTCCATAAAATGAATTTCTCATCCATCACAAAGATGGTGTTCAAGAACTTACACCTGTGACACGTTCCTTTAATAGCCTTGCTATGTATCAATAATACGACACTACTATTGATTCTCTTTCTTAATCCACGTCTTGTAACTTGGTAAGCTTGTTTACTCATTTACAAAGTAAGGCAAGTGCAAATGACAATGCAATACACCTGGAAACAAACAATTTGGGGGCATCTAGGGCAACATCAACAGCCCTTTACCAGCACAAAAAAAGGCTCTATTGTTACCAGATTTACAATATACATGCAGGACTTAAGATTGGATCACAGTTTTAGCAAATTTTCCTCTATGCTTCACATGTAATAAAATCAAAATGGACAGGAACACTGGAATCTAAATGGCACACAAATATAAGTATCTCTTTACAGTTGTGCAAAAAAAGGGATATGAACACTGAAGACATTACACAGCATACCACACCAAGTTAATCTAAGTCACACAATAAGCACTGCAGGATCATCTTAGAAAACAGGCAGGCTGAAAACTCTCTTCATAGCTCTTATATTAAGTAGAGGTGGGCAAAACACAGGGATGGCTTCATGCATTTCTGATGTCTGCATAAGAAGTCATAAAATAAGCCTAAAAATAACATAAGCCGAAAACCAACAAGTTCTAGGCCTTAGGGCTTCTATCTGAAGCTTCCAGGTATCAATCAAGTTTAATTAACAATCTTTCTTCCCTGTTTCTGCTGACTGCCTTAAATGATGATTCAGATGTGTGAGCTTTTGCACTGCAAGTCAGTTAACCTCTTTGGAATGTTCACTCTGAGCAAGTGATGACAATGTCATCTTCACTGTCCATCACTTCTGCTGACAGGATGGGGAGAGAATGGAAACACTTTTCATATCAGCTACCATGTACCAGGCATTTATATCCCTGCATAACCCTGTTAAATGTACTTAGCTGTTTCACTGAACGCTGTGGGTTTCACACATGCAGTGAGTCCAAACACATCACACAGCGCATCACACCATCACTTGAGTGGAATTCATCTTTCGCCCTATATGAATGTAATGTCACAGACGTAACAAGTTACGAAAGAGTAAAAAGACAACTGGGTATTAAAAAAAAAAAAGAGGTGAGGGGCAAGACATGCTGTAGTTTCATATAATGAATAGACTGTTTAAATACCAGGAAGCGTACTTCAAATGCACACTTTCAGAAAATCTGTTTCAAAGACCCAGATTTATGAAATCAGTGCTAACTAAAGGAAGCAGCAGCAAGACAGCTGGTAGATACAAGCTTTGCTCCCTTCGTGTCAGAGAAGTCAGAACAAACAGCCAAAGAGAAGCTTTCATACCACATAAATGTCTTACTGCTCAATTTTTTCTTGCCACAAAGGATTACTGAAATCAAAAATACTGTAATATGCTCAGACAAGAGTACAAATAGGCTGCAAGAATGTATTTTTAAAAGGATTAGAGGGAACATGTACATTAATGAACACTAAATATAGCACAGTGCTATTATTCTTCTGTTGCATTATTCATTACACATACCAAAGAAATTGCAACTGTGATGAAGTCTGTTGACCAAACAAGAGCTGTATGTGTGCAAAAGGTACCATGAGATAATCTCAGGGTAGCACAGTAGGCACAATAAAATTTAGAGATATGCCAACGAAAAAACAGCAATGGCGTCTGCCTACACAACTTAAATTCTCAGTGATGCTCAGAGAATGGAAACTGAAGGGCCATCATGACAGTGGCATGTTTTAACAATAATTTCACAAGTAAGTGGTAGAAAGAACAAATTCTTTTGCTGAAATACTGAGAAAGCCTTGCATCTCTGAAAAGTGATGACTTCATTATAGTCAAAAAGCATGAAAATGTAGATCTCTGCCTTGCTAAACCAAGTCCATCTGCAGTGAAAAGAAAAAAAATCACTTTCAAAGCCCTGCACATTCTTCACCACAGGCAAGCGTAATCTGCTTTACTTCAAGGTGTTTTCAGGGTTTAACAACCTTATTGCTCTCTACAACTACCTAAAAAGAAGTTGCAGTGAAACCGGTGTTGGCCTCTTCTCCCAAGTAACTAATGACAGGACAAGAGGTAATGGCCTCAAGCTGCGCCAGGGGAGATTCAGATTGGACATTAGGACACATGTCTTTACCAAAAGAGTGGTTAGGCATTGGAACAGGCTGCCCAGGGAGGTGGTGGAGTCACCATCCCTGGAGGTGATCAGAAGACATACAGATGCTGTGCTTAGAGACATGGTGGGCTTGGCAGTGTTAGGATAATGGTTGGACTTGATGATCTTAAAGGTTTTTTCCAACCAAAAAGATTCTGTGATTCTACGACTTTGACTTGGAATTACTTCAGCAATAATGTAGAAAAACTGAAGATGTCATCTTTGGCAACAATAACCAACTAATGCTCTATCAATTCAGAAATTATTTTAAGCTAAGAAACCAGTCTGTGCAGAGATTCAGACAGTAAGCCTAGGCAGGACCATTCTGACTTATGTATGAACAGACCATACAAAATTACATGAACCTGCAAAGAGCCCAATGATATCTGATATCTATTCCTTAGAATGGCCCAATTAATTTTTCAAATTTCTGTCAATTTTTTTCGAAAATACACTGTATAGATTTTTTTAGTTTCCTTCATGTCTGTATAAAAAAACCCAAGGGGAAAAAAATCTTAGTATCTCCTGGGTTATTAAAAAATCCACTAAAAAAGTCTTCAAATTAAAAGTGTGGGTTTTAGCTCAAAATCGTCAACACCTCTACAGAAATACACTTGCATATCCATACAATTTCTATTTGCATGCTTCTATAACAAATGTATTTATTCTGCTACGTTAAGTCAATGCTACTTTAAACAACTTGTTTTAGTGTTACTACTTTTAGAATTGTCAAATACTGTACACAGAAAAAGATTATTCCTAATATTTGCCCAAATTCCTTAATTAATTTGCTTCAATTGAGTTTGCATCACTTCAGGCATCAGTTTTCCTCAGAAATATCTTTTCTGGATGGTATTTTCAGTGAGTTTTTAAAGTAAATACTAGCAGGTATTTCCTGACAGGTAATTCCAGAACTTTTACACAGAGGGACCCCCCGGCACAGAGGAGTGCCCATCTGCAGCACCACTTATGATAAAGCAGCACAGAGCTCCAGAACAAATCTCTGTCCTACTGCAGAGCAACTAGTGACAAACCTTTTTAAATGAGCACTTGGTGACATGAACCGACATCCTCATGTTACATCTTAGACACAGTAAAACAATCGTTCTCAATCATTGTCTGTAATGATAGCATGTACTGACTAGGTCCATCCCAGAAAACACATTTTTAGGAAGTATTACTTGACCACTAGAAATTATTGTAGAAATAGTTTCATCAAAGAACAATGTTTGGATTTGCATACAGCAAACAGTAACACAACCTGAAGTTTTAAATTAATTGAGGGGCTTTAAACAAATCAGCCCTGCTTTTTGCTTGGCTTCTCAGATGCTTTTTTGAAGTATCATGTGAAAGTTTGCATGAGCGTAGGAGGGAAATAAAATCTGCTGGAAGACTAGTCTGTCACAGCTAGATAAAAATAAAAACACACTGGCATTTAAGAGATAATTATGAAGTATCATCCCTGTGAACGAAGGATGCAGGAGAACAACAGAAGTAATTCTTACCACCTAGCAGCCCGCTTAACTGTGTAACCACACTGCCTGTGGCTGCCAAGACCAGCAGAAAAATACACGTAATAACTGTACTGAAGAGCACACACAGTGAGAGTCCTACAACCCACACAGTGAGAGTCCTACAAAGAAGAGAAGCCTCCTTAAGTTCTTTCCTGGAAAGATGAAGCCTTTCCTGAATAGTTCACTGACAGTTTTTGTTCACCAATAGGGAGATACAGAAGATGATAAATCTATCCAGTAGGGATAATGGAGATTTGGAGAGAGTCTAACTTGGAGAGAGGCTAAACCTGTAGTTAGAAAAATTTATTAATTTTTGTAATTTACTAATTAAAAAATTTAAATGATTTAGTGATTAATTAGTACATTAGTAACAAACACAATCACTTACTAAAGAGCACAAAAAAGACAGGGTTTTATACCTGTAAGAAATTGGACATCTCGCTTAATATTTACTAAGCTTGCAGGCAGAAAACAGTAGAAGCACAGATTTTGTGCAAAGATGTAGTAGCCATCACACTTAATTACACTAATTAAGAAAAAAAAAAAGGACACCTACAAGCTTGGCTGGCAAGACTGATAATAGGATACTGTATATTAAGCTTTTCATCAACATAAAACTCTTTGCAGCAGATATAAAAAAATGTACTCCAGAAAAAGCCTAATGTAACTATAGTTGAACCAAGTAACATAAGAAAAAAAAACCCAACTACTGTTCATTTTCCTTTATCATCAATTTAATTTATGTTTCTGCATGTATTGCCTATTTAAAATACCAGTACCTATTGGCATGCAGGTAGTGTCCAATGCTAAGAGAGAAGGCTTGCACTGAGAACCCTGGGTTCGGTTCCATGTGTTACCAGTTAACAT